CTGGAAACGTGCATGTTGCAGATGGCACACACAATCGAAGCAGGAGTCGCCATGGTGGCTGCAAAAAAAGCTATGTTGAGAGAGCCAAACGGCAGCGGGTGGGAAGAATAAGGGGGATAATGCAAGAAAGGCGTGCACGTACCGGGAAGGATGGTGAAAAGGAAAATAACGGCAAAATTCTCAACGGTCAGACCACTCAACGGTCAGACCACAATGAATGACATTTGGTCGTGCGACCTGAGTGAATTGATCCGTATCCGAAAAAGTGTCTCCGGTCTCGGTCGCTGTCTCTGTCTCTCTCTGTCTGTCTGTCTGTCTCTCTCTCTCTGTCTTCTCAGGTCGTTTGGGCGAGGGAGGTCGTTGTGGCAAGGCGGGGGTTGGAGATGAAAGGCACGACGCTGAAGAGTGGCATGACGAGGCGCGATCGATTTTTGGCGGATTGCGAAGAAGGAGAAGAAGAACAGCAACAGCAACTAAATGAACAAGGCAGGTGGGCAGACAACACGAGAACGCGAGCGAGTATAGCGGAAAGAGGGATCTTGGAACAAGGTTGGCGGGCGAATACACGAACACGCGAGACAGCGAAAACCAAAAAAAAAGGGGGGGAAGGGGGTGGGGCGAGAGGGGACTCGGAACCCTGGTAGCGAAGCAAGTTTACTCGGAGTAGGCGGTGCGGGTGGACGGCATTGAGGTGGACGGCGAGACCAGCTGATTCAAACTGTGTGCAAAAGGGCGCAACCATGAGCAAAAGCCGAGAGCGACGACGGCGCTCCGCACAAATACGACTGATGAGCAGGCATGATCCTACCGTTGAATCAGCTTCTCACGTTCGTTCAGCTTCTCACGAACGTGCTCTGCTGTGCGTCCTTGCTCTTTCTTCTTGAGAAGAGTGGGCACTCGATCCCAAACGTTGTCGTTGTAGCTGCTCACAATCAAGCCAACGAGCCGTGGGTGATAAAAGGCGACCACCGCCGCCATCACGCCCAGTCGGAAGGCGTCTTCCGGCTTGCAATTCTCAACGAGTTCCGCAAACGTGGCTTCGTCCTCCGAGAGGCGAGAACCATCTTTCAGCAAATTGTCGATGGCGGCTTCGCCTTGGGCCACCTCAATTTTTGTGAGATGCTTGGCTTCCGCCACTGCCCTGACGCTTTGAACACCTTGAAAAAAAGCATCCTTGTTCGGCTCGGTGGCCACTTGCGGTTGAGCCGGCATTGCCCCCGGCGTGTTGGATGGCTGATAGGCCATCGGAGGACCGTTGAGCCCCATGAAGCGTTTGAGATTCTTCTTCTGTGTTCGTCGGTGAAAGTCCTCCCTTGCCTTGGTACAGCCCGGATCGATTTGATCGTGAATCTGAGCAAAGAGCACGGTGATGAGGTAGTCCATTTGTGAGCCTTCGCGTCGAGGAAGTCCTTCAGCAGTGGTGCTGGATGACGCGGATGCGGCGGAAGTTGCGCTGGGCTCGCAGTAAGAGGCCCCCTCAGGTGGCACATGAACAAAGTCTTTTGCCGAAGCAACCTCAGGTGGAGTCTGCGCGGCGGAAGAGGATACATCCTTGGACCAGACGGCCTCGACACCATCTCCTAGGCCATCGTCAGGCGTATATGGGGTCTCACACAGGGCAGCTTGAAGGGCAGGGTCAGCTTGAAGGAATTTATCGAGAGCGAGCTTGCTAAGATCACAAAGCTGTGCCTTGACACGCTGCTCATGAAACTCCAACCAAGCGGGCAAGCCGTTCTCTGCAAGAATCTTGAGGTAGTCACAAATTAGAGCCTCGACGTCGCTGACACGGTTGTGGATAACCGTAAGCAGTGCACGCAAGTGGGGGCTCTTCAGCCGCCGAAACAGAGCATCTCGCACCAACATGGCGAGCACCTGTTTCCAGCGCTCGTTGGCGTTGGCAAGTTCCAAGCGGAGGTCATACAGCTGCACTCCATTGAAGCTTGGGTTCTGCAAAATGGCTCGGTCGCTCTCCGACAATTTTGTAAGAACTTTGTACTTTCGCTCCTGGCAGGTGAGCATTTTACGCGTCAGCAAAACGTCGCCCCAAGCTGTCTGGCCCTGCTCTTCCATGGTGAACTCGAAGTTTCTGTCGGCTTCAATCTTCTCAGCTTGTTCAATGAGGCTTGACGCCGTGACGTCCACCATCAACTCTGCCAGAGTGGAATCTTGCTCGCTTTCGGGTTTGGCTTTGGCTGAGCTGTCAAGAACAGTGCTCATGTTGGCCATCTTCTCGTCGCACCTGCGTTCCTCGGCAGCCTTCTCAGCAGCAGCTTTCTCGGCGGCAGCTTTCTCAGCGGCAGCTTTCTCGGCGGCAGCTTTCTCAGCGGCAGCTTTCTCGGCGGCAGCTTTCTCAGCGGCAGCTTTCTCAGCGGCAGCTTTCTCGGCGGCAGCTTTCTCGGCGGCAGCTTTCTCGGCGGCAGCTTTCTCGGCGGCAGCTTTCTCAGCGGCAGCTTTCTCGGCGGCAGCTTTCTCGGCGGCAGCTTTCTCGGCGGCAGCTTTCTCGGCGGCAGCTTTCTCAGCGGCAGCTTTCTCGGCGGCAGCTTTCTCGGCGGCAGCTTTCTCGGCGGCAGCTTTCTCAGCGGCAGCTTTCTCAGCGGCAGCTTTCTCAGCGGCAGCTTTCTCAGCGGCAGCTTTCTCAGCGGCAGCCTTGTCAGCGGCAGCCTTGTCAGCGGCAGCCTTGTCAGCGGCAGCCTTGTCAGCGGCAGCCTTGTCAGCGGCAGCCTTGTCAGCGGCAGCCTTGTCAGCCATGTCGAAGGTTGGTGAAAGGGAAAAGGTGCACGATTTGCTCGACCACTGCGATAGCTTTCAACGCAAGAAAATGCCGAGAAGAAGAGTGCCTGCATCAGTATTGGTCATGCCGGGCCGACGCAGTCCGCGTCACACCATGATGATCACCTACTTTGGCACTGTCTGTACCCTCGCCCCCTTGTCGCATCACACGGCATAGTCCGCGTATGCCATTGACATGCATGTGAATGCTTTCATTCCGCTTGATCTGCTTGCATTCTTCATTCATTACAAGCACACCCCCATTTTGAAACCGCCTATGAGAGTTTTTCCAACACAAGCAAGCAAACAAACCAAAACAAGAGAAAGAAGACGCGGAGAAGAGAGACGAAGAGAGTTAACGAAGAAGAGAATTTCAACACACGCACACACACACACACACACACACACACACACACACACACACACACACACACACACACACACACACACACACACACACACACACACACACACACACACACACACACACACACACCTACCTCTCTACACACAGAAGGGGATGGCGTCGGTGGTGTTGGTGTTGGTGGTGGCACCGGTGGTGTTGGTGGTCGTGGGTTTGGGGCTGCTGGCATCCTCTCATGCGTTGCGCCAGTACATCTTTGCCAATTGGCTCTGGCCTGGCTTGAGTGCGTGGTTTGGCTTGTGATTTGGAGGAGGAAACTGGGGCCGATCGCAAGGAAGGCTGCTCACGACGCTGGGGCCTTGTCTCGTGCTGGCGGGTGAATGTAGGTGAGCAAGTGGATGCCCAGCTTGCCAAGCGCAAGCGCGACACGTATACGGCATTGGCCACTGGCCGCGTGCTGGACGTGGGGTCGGGTGATGGCGTGAATCTGCCGTACCTTTTGGCGGCCAAGAAAGTGACCGAGTGAGTCTTGAGTCGCGTCTTCTTCCTTGATGCCGCTCGCCCAACTCTGAGCCGACTGCATCTCCTTGGCACATGCGCTCACTGCCCCTTTATGATTGGCCCTGTGGTGGTTGATCGTCTCGCCAGGGTGGTTGCCATCGAGCCGAACCCCGACCTTTCCAAGCGCTTGAAAGCCCGGTCGGCGGCTTTTGTGGCTCAAGGTGAAACCGACATCCCCATCAAGACGCTGTGCTGCACTCTGGAGAATCTGCCGCAGCAGCAGCAATTTGACACCATTGTCTGCAACCTGGTCCTCTGCTCCGTGCCGAATTTGGTCGACAGCCTGAGGTGCATGCGCGAGCTACTGCGGCCCAACGGCCAGATTCTCCTGATTGAGCATATCCAGGACGAGCCATCAACGTGGCGGCACCGCTTGCAGCGCCTGGTCCAACCCCTGTGGGGCATCATTGGGGATGGCTGCCACCTCAACCGGCGGGTCGACCTCGCACTCCGGCGTTTGGGGTTTTACATTGATTACCAGGAGATCTTTGAGAACGACATGTCCTCGGACGTCGGCGGCGTGGCTTGGCTAGCAGGCCGGCACGTTGTTCTCCGGGCCTTTGCTCAGCCCCCACCCCGCTAACATCTGCCCAATGCCAGGGAGATGCGGTCTATGCACGCTCACAGGCCGCCATGGGACAACACATAGGTCAGGGCCATATCAATTGATGCCAGAACTCCATCCAGACGGAACCCCCTTTCTGCCCCGTACAATACCACCGCCACCACTCGCCCCTTCATCCATCATATCATAATTATCCCCCCCCCCCCCCCC